GCAGCATTTCTATTCATTTGTCTCCCAGGTGATTTCTTTACTCTTGTCTCCCAGATTCAACGCCTGCACTGCTGGTGTCCGCCCTTTTCCGCTGGCCAGGCTGCATTTCTATTCGTCTGTCTCCCAGTCTCCCAGGTGATTTCTTTACTTTTGTTTCCCAGATTCGGCGCCTGCACTGCTGGTGTCCGCCCTTTTCCGCTGGCCATGCGGCACTTCTATTCAATTTGTCTCCCAGGTGGTTGTTTATTTTTGTCTCCCTGATATCTGTGCTTATGTGCCTGCACTGCTGTGGTCCGCCCCTTTCCGCTGGCCATGCAGCGTTTCTATTCGTTTGTCTCCCATGTGATTTCCTTACTTTTCTCCTAACAGGTTGCTGTTAGGGGTTCTCAATGTTTTCTAAGAGTGTCCGCCCCTTCTTTTTGGTCATTGCGTCCGCCTTCTCTCCCTTCTGTCTCCCTTGGTCTCCGGTCTTGCCTCCCTTCTTGTTGGTCACTGTGTCCGCCTTGTCTCTTGTCTGGCTTCTTGTTGGTCATTGTGTCCACTTTGTCTCCCTCCTGTCTTCCTTTGTCTCGGGTCTTGTCTCCCTTCTTGTTGGTCACTGTGTCCGGCTTGTCTCCCTTCTGTCTCCTGCAAGACCGGAGACAAGAGGGGGGCCCAATGACCAACAAGAACCCTTTACATGTGTCCCCGCTCTGGACTGCGGTGTCCACCTCTGCCTCCCAATCCTCCCAGCTCTGGGCTGCTGTGTCTGCCTCTGCCTTGCAATCCTTTGCATGTGTCTTCCAGCTCTGGACTGCTCTCTCCGCCTCTCGCTTGCAACCCTTTCCATGTCTCTCGGCTGCCTTGCAATCCTTTGCACTTGTCTCCCAGCTCTGGACTGCTGTGTCCGCCTTTGCCTTCCAATCCTTTACGTTTGTCACCCAGCTCTGGGCTGCTGTCTCCGCCTCTCGGTTGCATTCCTTTGCCTCTCGCTTGCAATCCTTTACATTTGTCTCCCAGCTTGTTGCCGTGTCCGTCTGGGCTGCGCCTTGCAATCCGTAACATGTGCCTCCCAACTCTGGACTCCTGTCTCCGCCTCTTGCTTGCAACCCTTCACATTTGTCTCCCAGCTCTGGCCTGCATGTCCTTTACATGTGTCTCCCAGCTCTGGGCTGCTGTGTCCGCCTTTGGCTTGCAATCCTTTACACTTGTCTCCCAGCTCTGGGCTGTTGTGTCCGCCTCTGCCTTGCAATCCTTAATTTTACATGTGTCTCCCAGCTCTGACTGCTGTGTGCAGTCCTTTGCATTTGTCTCCCAGCTCTAGACTGCTGTATCCACCTCTGCCTTGCAATCCTTAATTTTACACGTGTCTCCCAGCTCTCGACTGCTATTTCCGCCTCTTCCTTGCATCCTTTGTCTCCCAGCTCTGGACGTCGCAAACTCTAGTTGCAGAGTGTTCCGCTTGAAAAACACAAACTGTTTGGGGTCTACGGTGGTGTAATTTATTGTTATTCGGACCTGAGGCGACATTCCGAAAAGATCAGAATCTGGAATTGGTTCAGAATGTACAAGAACTTTTGACATGTCGGGAAACACGTGTTTTTTTCTCCAAAGTCAGTGAAAACAATCATGCACGCCACGCCACTCAATACTTTCAGGTGGGGCCATGTTCTGCCCAGTGCTCTCAACCTGCTTGGCCGAGGCTTCTCACGCAAGCTGCTTTCACTTGTCCAAACGCCCAGCTCTCTTTTGGAACTTCACGTCGTCCTCTTCCATCGACATTTGCTTGATCTCCTCATTCCACCTGATGCCATTGTTGAACATCACATAAAGCAACTTAAAACAACTTATATTTATATAAACCAGTTTGTTTACTTCTTTTTTTCCAGAGCACGTTTATTCCGTCATACCTTTATAGAGTGGCGTGCATTGCTGGATTTGCCATTTGCAGTCTGCAGTCTGTAACATGGGGGCGCACAGCTCGACTTACATGGTCCTAGAATGTCCTAGACCATTTTATACAAAGCTGAAATACCTATAGGATATTCTAGGGATTTCTGGGCAAGTCAAGTTCAGGGGATTCTAGGAGTATTCGGGAAAATCTGGAAAACATGTTTGGAACGATAAGAAGGATTTGGATAATCGGATAATCAAGGGAAATCCATGGAAGTCCCATTTCAAAGGCATACAATTGTGTGCAGCCCTCATGGAGCCTGTGCTTAGATTATGTGTTGAGTACATTTGAGGCATCTAGAGATTTACATAGAGACCCCATTTGATTATTTTGGAATTCCTTGGATCCTTTTTCAATTAAAGACTCTTAAAGTAGAAAGCAAATCTTATTTTCAGAGCACGTTTATCCGATTAAGTCTCTGTAAAATGGCGCCCTTCAAAGATTATAACACATTGATTTTGCTCGATGCAAATTTTTGTGGACATTATCATGAGCCTGGGTACCACCATTCTATAGACCCTTTTTGCTAAGTCCTGTGGAAATTAACCCTTGTCAAAATCTATCCTGGGTACCCCCATTCTATATAAGTGTGCTTTTGTGGAATGAGCCCTGGGGAAATCATTTTATATATAGAGGGTGCCTACCCCAAAAAATCGAAAACCTATAGAATTGGGGTACCCAGGGCCCACGGTAGAGGTTGAATTCCAAGGAGCATCTCTTGACACTTCTGAGTCTAAGGAACGTGCCAAACTGCTTTCGAGCCATTGGCACAAGTACCAAAGACACAGTTGGGATCATTTGGGTATATATATATTGTATAAGTCGCTTGTCCTAGTGAAATCTTATGGAACGCCAAAGCCAGACTGCACTCCACTTGGCCCCAGGCTTCGAAGATGGAGTAAAGAGCTTAAGTTGACCGTCCTTTGTTCCTCATTCTGACTCAGGAAGAACACAAGCATTTGGAACTCCGTTTCCCAAGGCATTTTGGAACTCTGTGGCTGCTGGAGAAGGAGTAATGGAGGTGACCTTAGATGCTATTTTTCTTAAAGCCCGGGGTAGGCCGCGAGGTAGGTAGGTAGGGTAGCTAGTAGAAGAGGTAGCTACTACCTTGCTTAAGTTACTACCTAGGATGCAGGATAGCTCACGCTTCTTCAAGGAAGCTCCCCTGGCTGAGGGCAGGGGGAGCTTCCTTGAAGAAGCGCTCGCACTATTCATTTGGTTCCTAGATTTTTAGGGGGCAGGCAGACATGTGGCATCCGCTTGCAATCCAGTGGGCGGCAATGTCCAAAATGGCATCAGAGCAGGAGGCCAGGAAATGGGCTTTGCTTGCTCCACCCAACCATCAAGCGGTGCAAGACCTTTTGAGCAGCATGTGTCAGGACTTGAATTTCGAGAAGATTTGCCTTACAGCTCTTAGTCAAAGCATATTATTTTCTTATTTGCTAAAGCAAGCCTCCACGCCAGTCGAACTGACGACTTCGGGAAGCCACCCTTTAGTCACAAAACTTGATCACTCCACACAACGCAGCGCAAGAGATGAATCATTGGAGCTTGGGGCTAGTTAGTTCACAAGAGAGCAGGATGCATCTATTGTATTTGCAAGTTAGTTGCAGTGTGGCACGCTTCAGGTTCCAATCTACGCGAATGCAGAGGAGCGGGCATGGATTGAAATAGAAGCAGATGGGTTGGCGTAGACTTTGTGGTTAGTGAGGAGGCGATGCGCTGCCTGCCTGAGCGGTTTTCTGCTTTCGAGAAGGCAGGAGGACAAGCTAGCCGTCGAGACTTCACCAGCCCTACATCGCTGGGCATGCTTGACATGATCAGCACTGTGTCTTGTTGATGTCGCTGATGGATTGGAGCTCAACTCCTCATGTGCTGTCCAGGCTGCCTTTCCAACAAACCCTAGAGAAAGATGTGCTGCATTGGCAGCTATCGCAGAGATCATTGCAGATACTTTCTCGAAGAAGGATGACACCTGGACTGCGATGTAGACATCACTGAGACCATACGTACGTACGTACATACAGACAGACAAACAGACAGACAGACAGGCATCCATGCATGCATAGTACATGCACATTATATCCATATAGATTTATGCAGGCTTATGCAAAAGCACTTGAAGTCTAGCAGGTTTAAGGAGCTGATTCAGAATATGCATGGTAAAGCTTTCTGGGGTCAGGAAACTGCATCTTCCCTTATTGAAGAGGGTTTCTTCATATGTTGGACCACCACAAATGAAGGCTGCATTTATGGTATTGAAACACACTATATTTTAAAGGTCGTGGCAGGGTAGAATGGCGACTGTGTTCCCTCTGTTGTTTGCATCCCAGTTCATTTCAATGGGTTGCATTCCCAGTTGCCTTTGGTAGCCTTGAACTTGTCAGCAAAAGACTATGACTATCACCAGCAAGTTTTTCTAACTAGACGACGGTTGGCCCGAGAGCGAGACATGTAATTGTCCAGCACTGTCGAAAAGATGTATAGAAAGAGAGAAAGAGAGGGTGGATGTGAACGAGTGACAGTGTGGATGTGCAGGTGCGATATAGATATGTAGATGTATGGAGGTGGAGAGGTAGATCTGTGGATGTGAGCGTGCGAAGATGTAAATGCACAGAGACGAGAGAAAAGATATGTAGAAAGAAAGAAAGAAAGAAAGACAGGGATGTGAAGGAGCGACAGTGTGGATGTACAGGTGTGATATAGATGTGCAGATGTGTGGGTGTGGTGAGGTGGAGAGGTAGATCTGCGGATGTGAGCGTGTGAAGATGTAAATGTAGAGAGGTGAGGGGGTGTAGACGTAGATGCGTCGATGCAACGGCAGCGCAACGTCAACCTTAGTTGTGCAAGTACAACGCTGAAGAGGTTCAAATCGAACTGAAGAACGTACATTTCACACTGAAGTTTCCACGAACAGGGCGACCTGAGAGTAAACGACGTCACGATCATGACAAGCGACTCGTGTATTCCAAGCGAACATCGATTGTCATGAAGGTGAAGTACACACATACTAACGTCACGATGACTCTTTTGTGGCAGCCACTTATGAATAAGCAAAGTAGCTAAAATTTGTCAACCTCTCAAGAGAGCCGGGTGGTCGGGAGACATGACTCAGCTGCAGGAGCGCCAGAGCAGCCGCGAGAGATGACTCAGCCGCGAGAGATGACTCAGCCGCGTACTAAAGTTGTACTACAAAGTCACCAGTTCTCATCTTCCAGCTCCCCAGATACTCCGCGCAATAAAGTTGTACTACAAAGTCGCCAGTTCTCATCTTCCAGCTCCCCAG